TGTCTCGCAGGACTTGGCTTGGCCGGTCAGACCTGGGTCTGGCTTCAGACAGGGGGCTGAGGCTGCTGAGATCGCCAGAGCTGAGGGGACGAGCCCTGGGCACGGGGCTTCACCTGGCACCTGTCACGCCAGGGAAGAGGCCGAGCCCCTATTTCTGAGGACCACGGCTTCCTGCGGCCCCGGCAGCGGGGGGAGACTGTTCGTGGGCCCCGACCGCCAGCCAGCAGCTGTGCCCGGCCAGCTCTGGTTTCCGGGCAGCCGCTCTGGTCTCAGGGGCACCGGGGGGGCACTGCCTCCCGCTCTGTCCTTCCCTCACACACCCCGGGCCGGGTGGGGAGAGCGGCTCACCCCCCTCTCCTGGGCCCGAACCGGACCTGAAAGTGCTTTTTCTGTTGAATGTTTGGCAGTGACATCCGGCCCTGCTTGGGTGCTCTATTAAAAACCACAGGAAAATCCCTGTGTGCTGCTGCCAGCAGCGAGCAGAGACGTCCCTGGCGAGCAAGCCCGCGCAAGTGGAATATTCCACCACCCTCCGCCGCGCAGAGCTCGGGATGGGAGGACCCTGGCGGTCCCTCCCGTGGAGGAGCCGCAGGGGAGGAGAAGCGGGCTTACCTGGGCAGCGGCGACGGCCTGTGGCCTGTCCGGGGCCCCCACCTGCAGCACCCCACTCCTTGCGGGGCTCAGGCCCTGGAGAAGCTGGGGCGCTGGACGTTCTGGCTGGGCCTGAACGTCCCTGTGCTCAGCTTGTGGCTGCCCCCACCTCTCCGGGCCGCCGGGGGTCCGGGGCCTCTCCCGAGACCACTTCCCAAAGGGGTCTGGCCAGCCCCAGATGCTGTAGCTCTTCCTTAGAAACCACGGCAACAGGCTGCTGGGCTCTCCACCGACATCCAGGGGCGACCTGGGGCCCCCCGCCCCGCCCCGACCACAAAGAGCTGACCCTTCCGCCACAGCCCGGGCCCCATGGTCTCCTGGTGACTCCACCTCCCAGGAGGGCCCCAGGTGTTACCCCCACTTTACAGGTAACAGAGCCCAGGAGAGTCAGGAACTGCTCAAGGTCACTCGCCGAGGACATGGCGCCAGGCCTGGGGCCCGGCTCGGCCTGCCCCCCAACACCCTCCGGCGTCCAGGCTCTGGCCCCGCCTGCTGCTCCCCGCTGTTTGCAGCTCATGCCCACCGGCCCGGCTGCGCCCAGCAGAAGCCCCGCCCGCCACGTGGCCCCTCCTGTGACAGTCCTTCCTCTCCCAGTCCGTCTGGGGAGGCTGCCTCGCCGACAGCGGCCCCAAGCTCCTCGCCCTCGGCCCGGCCCCTCGGGACTGCCATGATGCCTGTGCGCCAGGGCGCCCTGCGTCCGCAGTATGTGACACACTGAGCCGAGAGGGACCCTGTTCGGCCTTCCGGGAGGGGCCGTTGCTGCCGGGGTGTGGGTTCACTTCCCAGCAGCATCTTGGCGCGTCCAGCAGCCCACAGGACCTGGTCAACCAGCTGTCCAGCGCTCACTCGCCAGAGGGGGAGACCGAGGCCCTGGGAAGGGGCGTGTAGAAAGGCAGGTGGGGTTAGTTGTTCGTGACAGCTCGGGATGTCCACCCTGAGTCCCCCCCACACACACACACCCCCAGTGTGTCAGGGCCACGTCCACTCTGAGCTCTCCATGCGGGGACTGGCCGCGCTTCCCTCTGGCCCTGCCTGACTGTCTCCCGCTGAGTCCCGACAAGCCTGCTTGGCCCATCTCGTGTAACCAACTTTTTCCATTGTGGCGCGAACGCATTCTTCCCTGTCTCTGCAGCCCGCGGGGGGCATCGAGCCAGAAATACTCTCTCGGCCTACGTAGCCGTCAGAGGGGTCTTGGAAAAGCAGCCTTGTCGGTCACAGCCCGGCCTCCTGTCCGGCCGGCAGAGCCGCCTCGCCCGAGGACGAGGTCTGGCAGGCGGGCGCAGGCCCTAGGCCGGCGTGGGGGGGAAGGCGCCCCTACCAGACTTGAGCCTGGGACCCTCCGGTGAGTCTCAGCAGAGAGGGAGGGCACAGAGGCCCGTTTGACCTTCACGTCACCTTGGGCTCCAGGGGCCCCCACAGTTGAGCTCATCCAGTCCCCGGGACCAGTGTGCAGGAGGGACGAGGATGTGCACCTTCTGGGCTCCCCGGCTGGGAGGGCCCTCCCTTCCCAGCCCCCCAGCACACCGTGGGGCGTTGTTCCCTGTGACTTCAGTGCAGAGCACGCACAGTCTCAGGAACTTGCACTCTTCTGATGGGGTGCACGGCGCAGACACCCCATCTTCACCTCTGCACCCAACCTCATCGCAGTGAGCGGGCGGACGGATGTTTTTTCCTAGAGGAATGTTTGCTGGTGGGAAAAGGGATTTGTCTTAAAATACTTTTAAGGTTGGGGCTTAAATGTCAGCGTTCGCCCTTACTTCTCTGGGGTCCGGGTTCTACAAATGGAAATAGCAATGCTTGTGAATGTAACGCCCAATAAATGCCAGTTCTTTCTGCCCAAGGGGGGCCTCCTACACACACAGACACACACAGGGAGGGAGCCAGGGAGGAGGGCAAGGGGGGGTTTCCTTAAGAAGTAGAGAGGAGAGGCCTCTGGCTTGCTCACCCCTTGTTTCCGAAAGCTGGGGGTGGGGAATCTGCCCTTTAAAATTCACCTCCTCTTAGGATTCTCAAACTGCTAAAAATGGAGCCTCCTTAGGACCCAGCAACCCCACACCGAGGTATCTACCCAAAAGACACAAAAAACTGGTTCAAAAAGACACCTGAACCCTCATGTTTATTGCTGCTCTCTTCACTATAGGAAAGACATAAAATCAACCCAAATGCCCAAAAGTGAATGACTGGATTAAAAAGATGTGGTGCATATACACAATGGAATATTACTCAGCCATCAAAAAGATAAACTCATGCCTTTTGCAGCAACATGGACAGCGCTGGAAGGGATCATGCTGAGTGAAATAAGCCAGAAAGGGAAGGGAAATACCGGATGGTTTCTCTCATAGCAGGAGCATAAAGGACCAGGGGGGAAATAATAATAATAACAATGAATAGCTATATACCAGAGACATTTTACAGGAGAGAAGCGGGGAATAGAATCAGATATGGGTGGAGGGCAGTTTGCACAGAACTATGGTGATGGCACATGGGTGGTTTGGTGATGGGAAGCCCACAGGGATTACAACTGAGATGGAAAAAGGCACGAAATGATGTAAAAATAAACTATTATATTAATTTTTTTTTTAAATTCACCTCCCATTAGTAGCAGGCCGAAGTCCTGTGTGTCATGCATGCTCCAAATAAAACGTGCAGTGACACAGCCTTCTGTTGGGGTGCCAGGTCACCAAGGAACCTGGTGGGCCAGCTGTCCAGTAGATGGGGAAACTGAGGCCCTGGGAAGGGGCACCCAGGACGGCAGTGTGGGGGGAGCGGCTCACGATGGGGTGCAGTGGTGATAGGCGTGGAGGGCTCAGCCCGGATGGAGAACCAGCGCGCTCCCTCCGCCCGGCCGCGGGGCCCGGGTGTTCCTCGTCTCAGGCCCCTGCTTCTGCACTTCGCCCGGCTTGCCTGTAGGGGCCCAGAGCACCCCCCACGCGCAGTGGGGGCGAGGGCCCGGGGCCAGCAGTGTGGCTGAGTGCCACGCTCTGGACTCACCCTAGCCACAGAGCAGCGCCGCCCTCTCTAATGTAGCGACTTTCTTCTTCTTGTTTCCAGAGCAAATCATGGAGGAAAATAAAAAACATGGTGCACTGGTCTCCCTT